CCCCAGTGGTTGCCTTTTAGTTTTACAACGCAGCCTCTGATCACAGGCTCAAAGCGCCGCGCTTCCAAGCAACACGAAGCCGCACTCGCTGAGTCGTAACAGAGAAGAGTTGAAGACGGCTCTTGAATGGAAGGCAAGGGGTTTTAACGACAACAGATTTGGATGCAAGCACGGCCAGTCAGTCGGAGGCCATTCGGCCCTGTCGTGCAGAGGTCGCAAACGGGTTTTGATTCCTTACCCGTTCCCGTACCCGGCCGCACCAGGGTCGCAAACGGGTACCCGTACTCGTACCCAGCCGTACCCGTACCCTACCCGTACCCAGCCGGGTACGGGTAGGGTACAGGTATCAGGTACCCGATTGCGACCTCTGGGATGAAGCCATGTTGCAGGCGCGGGTGGGTTGATTCTAGGAACCTGAATTGTGAGAAGAGACAAGACGTTGGGAAATGAGTGACAAACAGTTACTCACCAGTGACTCACGGTCTACCCATACCCGTACCCGGCCGCACCAGGGTCGCAAACGGCTACCCGTACCCGGCCAGGGTACGGATAGCCGGGTATCGGGTAGGGTACGTGTATCGGGTACCCGATTGCGACCTCTGCTGTCGTGTAACCCCCGAGCGTGCCGCTGTCCACGCTTCTCCCCACACGGATTCACATTTTTGTTATTTCGATTTTCGACACTGATTTTCTGTCCACCTCGACCTTGTCCCGTGTCCGCGCTGCCTCTGCTCTCCCAAGCTAAGCGACATCACGTCGACCATTCTGAAAAGTGGCAACACCGTTAAACGCGGTCTTAATGAATTTCATTCTTTATTCGCGCCAAAACAGGAGAAAAGTGAAGGACAAACAGTGCAAATAATAAATAAAACAAGGTAACAAAGTGGTGCAGGGGAGATTGGAAACCCCATAGGGCTTCATATGAAAACCACACGATAAAAACATAGCAGTGTATTTACAATAGAAGTATTAAAATTAATTAAACAAAGCATACTAATTACAATTAAACATCTTAAACTCGATCTTGATTTCAAGCTTTCGTGACTGCAGGAATCCATACTCTTTGGTTCTTTCGGTAAAGTCACGTAGGTAGAAAAACAATAGATCACGACGTTTCGATCGCAACACAAGCAATCGTCATCAGGTGGGACAACCACAGCAAGAAAAAAACCGCTCTATTATTTTTCTACCTACGTGACTTTACCGAAAGAACCAAAGAGTATGTTAAACTCGGTGTAAAAAAAAAGTTTGTTTTTGTGTGCGCATGTGTGCGTGTGTGTGTGAAAGTTTGTCTAAACTAACCTATATATATATCTCTTTATCTTACCAAGTAAGGCCCACTGAGCTGTACAGCTCTTTTTCAGAAGCGACCTTGCCACAGGCGATGATAGCTAAACGTTGTGGCTTGTCATCCTGTGGAAATTTATAGCAGCCAAATACTCTAAACGTACGTTGATTATAAATTGTGGAGGGAAAAACCGGAGGACCCAGAGAAAAATCCACGCGACCACGGAGAGAGAGTCACCGCAAACTTCAAATGTTCAGGCGTTCGGGTCGAGATGGAACCCACGATTTCACGTGTACCAGGCGAGGTAGTGAACATCTCCTAGGAACCGTGGCAAGAGATGGAGCGGTGAAATCCGCTCAAATGGGATCGTTGCATCAGAGAGAAACATCGACGGTTTCAGGTCGAGGAGTATCTTCATCCAGCGGTGGATTGGTGATGGTGGTGTTATTTTGTTCCTTTCACCATGGGTATTTTAAATAAGTACTTCAACGGCTCAATGTTTGTTTGGAATGGGTTCGGATGGTTTCATCAAAAGCATTCTCACGTTTGGCTCCTTCACTTTAATTGGATGACAGCTGTCCAAGTTGAAAGAGCATGAATGGAATTTTGCATCGTTTAGCCAATAACTCTGACCTCCACCACGACCTTTTGAAAAAAAAAAACACCCAAGATCGTGGTCGCCGGCCAGTGTTGCTTTTTTTTCCCAACAACAACAAACATCGATAGATGCGGAGGCTGCCGCGTTGGCAGAGTGGTTCACAAACACAAATAACAACAACAACAACAAACTCAACACATTCGCCAATAACACTGCCTCTCAAGGGAAAACCATTGCACACAACACAGGCGACGTTTCGTGCAATGGGCCTTCTTCAGAGCACGCAGACTCAATGTCAACAGCAAAATTGGACAACTGTTAAATGATCCGCTCAATCGCACCGACCTCTTCATCCACGCGTTATGAAAATGGGCCATTGCACGGAACGTCGACGGAGATCTATATTTCCCCTTTCAGGGCACTGTCATCGCCTAACGTGTCGAGTTGTTGTTGTTGTTGTTCGTCAAGTGCCATCGTCCCTGCGTCGGTGATGGTTGGTGGACGCGCGCGGTATTAACCACGCGAAAAGTGAGCACCGTCTGCTTTGGAGTTGTACGTTAAAGATCCTGCGACGGCATTCGATGGAGGGTAGGCAGGCCAATGTGTGTGTGTCGCAGTCACGGCACACGTTTACTAAATATGAAGAAGAAGAAGTGATCTCAACCGCATCATCTCTACATAATAAAAAGGTTCAGTCCCTTTTACACGCACCTTTACATCATCCGTACCTAGTTTACACAACAAAGGCTCATTCCTAACAGCTTGATACAGCTATCGTGCTGTGGCGGTTCCACCTGAAGACGGAAGCTTGTGTTGCCTCCGAAACGTCGTGATTTTTTTTTACTTTTATTAATTTTAATTTTTTACCTACGTGACTTTACCGAAAACACCTAAGAATATGATCTCAAATGACTGACCTGGGAAACGTACAGAATCAGAAACAGAAGATGTATTTATACCGGAGGAATCCGATGAGCTATGAAGCTCTTTTGCAAAGATGCCTAACAGGGGCGGGTCAGAACGTTACAGCAACGTATAGAAACTCGTCGTCTAGAACGTATCGAAATCGTCGCCCTCCCCTACTGCGAAAGTTTAGCAGGACCCTCCTGAAAGGCCGGAGTGTCTTGGGTCTCAGCAAGGCTTTGCCTGGGTACAGGAGGGTGCTACAGCTGGCGAGCGGTAGCGATGCACATGGCCTGTAATCCAGCACTGCGGGAGGCAGCGAGGGTTGCTGTTCGACACGAAACGCCGCGAAGCTGCCTTCCTGCAGGGGTCGACAAGGTGGCATAACCCTGGCTCGCCGGGAGAGAAGGCCGTTACAGCAAAGTGTGGAATAATCTCCGTCTGTTCCGTGTGTGTGGGATAGGATGTTTCGCTCTCCTCCGAGTGAGGGTTTTTTTTCTCTCTCTCTCTCCACGCGCTCCGATTTCCTCCTACATCTGAACACACTCGAGGGCTGGCCGATAACGCCTACACACACACACATATATATAGAGGGGATCGCAGAGCTTGGGCATTTGTTGGTAACGCCCAGTCGAGGACGTGGCTGCTCCCTTGGCGCTCGTCTGCGGCTCCTCCTCAAGCCTCTCTGAATTGGTCTCTCTCGAAGACTTTGCAGTTTTTTCCTGGATTTTTCTGTTTGCGCATAGTCACTTTAAGATGTATTCTTGTTCACGTTTTTGTTTTTTGTTTTTTGTTTGTTGCGGTTGCACCCGATTCAAGAGCCGAATGGCTCACAGGGCTATACCAAATAAATGAAACGGAAATGAAATGAAACTCTGCGAGAGCGAGTGGATATTGTGCTTGACAGCGCATTACAAGTATACGTTGTTGTTGTTGTTATTGCTGTTGTTGTTCGAGCCTGATAGGCTCGCAGTGATGACATTACCATTGCTTCTAGATTTGAAGTTTTTGTGACTGCAAGGATTCATATTCTTAGGTTTATTCGGTAAAGCCACGTAGGTAAAAAATTAAAATTAATAAAAGTAAAATAAAAATAAAATAAAAATACGACGTTTCGGAGGCAACACAAGCTTCCGTCTTCAGGTGGAACCGTCACAGCACGATACTTGATACAGCTATCGTGCTGTGACGGTTCCACCTGAAGACGGAAGCTTGTGTTGCCTCCGAAACGTCGTGATTTTATTTTATCTTATTTTTATTTTACTTTGATTAATTTTAATTATAATTTTTTACCTACGTGGCTTTACCGAAAAAACCTAAGAATATTACCATTGCTCTATTTAAGACGCAAACAGGAGGACTTCTTCACAATTCTAAACCGATCGCCTGGTGAGGCTGGTTGTTGTTTACTGTTAAATTTGAATCACAGTTCCTATGATCACTGTTACATTGTTTTTATAGCTTAATTTTGGTGATTTTGAATACGTTTTAGTTTAGCCATGTTTGTTTGTTGTAGTACAGAGTTAGCCTGATAACTTTAATCTACATTTTCTTATGGTTGTTACTGTTTGACTTGCATCCCATTGGGATTTTTTTGCACACAGCGTTGATTTACGGTGCTTTTTCTGGAAGACTTTGCTGTTTTTTCCACGATTTTTCTGTTGCGTGTAGTCACTTTAAGATGCTTCTCTTGTTCGTGTTTTTGTTTTGTTGCGGTTGCACCCGAGTCAAAAGCCGCATGGCTCACAGGGCTATGCCTAATAAATGAAACTGAAATGAAATAACTGAAATGTTGTAATCATCAGCGATACGTCGCACTCGAATTGTAAATGTCGTGGGTTTACTCTCCGTCGTCCCAGGTGTTGCTCAACTCGTAGCTAATCGGCACGTTGTGTTTACGTGTCAAACCTCAACTAATTGGCTGTGTTTTGATTTAAAGCTTTCGTGACTGCAGTGATTCATATTCTTGGTTCTTTCGGTAAAGTCACGTAGAAGGGAAATAATAAAATAATAAAAATATAAAACAATAAAAATTATCACGACGTTTCGACTACAACACAAGCAATCATCATCGGGTGATGATGATTGTTTATATTTTTATTATTTTATTATTTCCCTTCTACGTGACTTTACCGAAAGAACCAAGCATATAATTGACTGTGTTAGGTGGTGTCGGGGTTAATCCAATCTCACCCAAAGACCCCCCTCCCTTCATTATGGATAACGATGTTTATTTTAACTCATCACAAGATTCGTGAGTCTCCAAGAGTTCGTTTGAATGAGCCTTGTATTATAACATTCACGTTACACTTTACACACAGTGCATAATACAGCATACGTCACATACAAATGTACGGTCTTAAATACTGTAATTGTGTACAGCATATAAAACACGTTAAATTATAAATATTAAACAACCCACACATTTTTTATATTAAATATTTCATAGTTTTTTTCTTTTTACCTTTTGAAAACTGTTTTTCCCACGTCCCCCTTTTTATCTTCACCAAAAACAATTGTTGCATATTTAAAAATACAATGCATGTCAGTGTTGCAAAGCACATATCCTGGGCCATACTAAAAACGCCAACAATTCGCGTCTGTTTAGCCCACCGGGGCTCGTGGCCAGCGTAATGTGTCGGTTTTTTGTCTGTTTGTTTTATTCACAGCTCAAGCAAAACCTAAAATCAAATTTAGAGAGTTACGTTTTGGGGTTGGCTTGTGTAAATTCGTTGATGCGTCGCTCGCTCCCTTTCTCGCGCGCACCCACACACACACAGACTCACACGCGTGCACACACACACAGACTCACACGCGTGCACACATACACACACGAAGATCCCCCGTATAGCCTTCAACAGACTGTCAGTGAGAGTGCTGTCAGCGAGGACCTATGAAGGCCGGCACCAGTGCACGAGAGGATGGGTGGCCCAGTATCAAACGCGGCCGTTTTTGTCTCCCCAGTGGCGATGCTTTACAACACCGCACCAGGTACTGATTTGAGGCCGAGTCGACCTAGAGGAGGCCCAGGACCGGTTGAGATATTCGTCACCGGTGTTTGCTGTGAGCGGGGAATCGAACTCGGCTCGCCAGGTTCACAGCGCAGCGTAGCGCTAACCACTACAACCACTGCTCCCCCCAATTCACCAAATTAACACAGGTGCGTACACGCACACACAAGTACAGCCACACTCACGCGAGCACGCGTACACGAGGCCAAATATACACGCATGCACACAGACTCGCACACACTCGCGCGCGCACATTCGCACTACACGCAAGACACGAATGCCTTTGTGTTTCTCCATGTTTCTGTGTTTGCTTGAGTGAGCAGTCGTTTAGCTGTTTGGCGAATATTGGCACAATTTCAAGTCACCCATCGTAATAAATATATCATTATCTACTATGTATAGGAATTCATTTTTTTCTTTAAGGATACCGGTGCTGGTATTTACCATTCCACAATCCGTACACATACACCCACCAATTCCACGCCGTGGCATTTGTCTCGCTGTGCTAAGAGAGAGCAGTTTTAAAACTAAACTATATTTATTCTTTTATTTTACTAGGTAAGGCTCACTGAGCTGTATAGCTCGTTTTCAGGAGCGACCTGGCCACTAATGAAAGCTCAACGAAGTGGCTTATCCTGCAGCTAAATACTCTAACGCATGTTTAAATGTGGAGGGAAAACCCGGAGGACCCGGAGAAAACTCCACGCGACCACGGGGAGAACATGCAAACCCCAAATATACAGCAGGCGTCAGGGTCGGGATCGAACCAACAACTTCCTGTATACCAGGCGAGGTAGTTCACATCTCACCACCGTGGTGCCCATTTGATGGTAAGTGACCAGCAGTGCCCTGCTTGGGACAACAAACACATTTTCTTTTTCCACACAGTCCCATCGCACACTCTAGGCTTTAGTGAACATTACTTGGCACCTAGGGATTTTAGTTTTTTGTTTAACACAATTAAGGACAGATGGATGTGCTAACGTACGACGTCCGTTTTCCCAAGTTAACACTGGCTCGCGATTATCAATGTGGCAAATAAACGTGATAAAATTAAGTCAACGAAGGATACATCATATAATATATATGCAAATTATGTGTCTTGAAAGAGAAAAAAACACACATAACCGGAATCTTTCCCAGCATGCGTTGTATGTCCAGATGACATCACCGTTGTTGTTGTGCATTACATAAAATGAAACACTCTTTTTAAAAAAAAAATCGTAGCGGTTCCTACGAACAGGTTATTGAATTTGTACTGGGCCATGGGAGCACTGGGTTGTCTAGACAAGACAGAGATCCCCCGTATAACTTTAACAGATTTTTTTCTGGGGCAAGCACTTGAAGGTTGGGGTGGGTGGCCAGCACCGCGCCCGGCCGCCTTTGCCTCCTAAGTGGCGACGTTTACACATCGCACCGCGGGCACTTGTCTGAGAAAGGAGATATTTCGGCAATTAAAACAAATCCCGAGTTAATTTCCCAAACAGACAGGTTGGACTCAGCGAGTCCACAACTCAACACAATGATAAACTGGTAATGTTGATTCTGCCGTGGCGTATGGCAGCAACGTGTTAAGGAGCTAAACACCAACGTCGAGGGCTCCTGGCCACGACGAGAGGGCTTCGGGACTGAGGGAGCCCGAGTCGTTTTGCCATTCCTCCATTGAAGGAGCTGGTGATAAATACCATCGTATTGTGGGTGGAGTGGTGGCGCAGCGGTTAGCGCACTGCGATATATAAAAACGGCAATCAAATTTTCTTTACGGCCACGGCTAACATCAGTGGCGAGTGACATCTGAACCAGCCCCCCCCCCCCCACCAAGACCCCAGTGCTCCCATTTACCAAGCTCTATTTTCTAGCGTGGTGAAGTATGGTCAAACACGTGCCATGAGAGAGAAGGCGTGGTGAGAGCTTTCATCCAGCAGAGGATTAACAAGTAGCTGTCGATTATTATTTCAAAATTATGTGTAATTTCTCGGAGGTGACCATGTGGAATGGGAGAAATTACACTCTACCAGAGCACTGAGCATGCATAGCTGAGATCCTGGGTTTGAAATCCGGAATGCGTCCCCTGCCATTTAAGCAGGTCCTCATGTGTAGTGAGTTGATGGTGTCAGTCTGGTGAACCAATCACCACATATATTAATCAGCTGATCAATCCTTTTTAGTTATTGTTGTTACATATTGTATTTTTTGAGAATTGTATTTTATTATGTTTTATTTTTATTATTTTATTAATTCCCTTCTACGTGACTTTACCGAAAGAACCATAATTCATCATATTCCAGCTATGAGAATTTGCATTTCGTTGGGAAGGAATTAACCACTCTTTTGGGGGCACTTAAAACGAGTTCCCCCCACTGTGGACAAAGAGGCCAATGAAAGTGACAAACACAGACGGGGCACTGCTTGCTTAGGACAATTCTAATTGGAAATGCCTTAAGTTCCAACGCGTGGTTTTGATCGCACATTGGAAATATCTCTGCAAAATAAAAACAAACATGACTGTAGGAAGCATTGCTACTTACACTGAATTTCGTGACAAACGTCTTGTTACTGCTGCGTGATTACACGGCACACACACACACATGATACGAGTTGTAATGGTTATAGCAATGGGTATTGTGCACGGTAGCATTTGAGTAAATTAATTCCATTGCCCGGAGATTTGTGATCATGTTACGGTACCAATATGTCATACGGATAAATATCTTGGCACATCCATGAGACGACGCGGGTTTGAGTAATGGGTAAACTTAATTAAACAGCGTTTTTCCGTTTTCTCCGACAATGCATGTTAAGCTTCTTTCGCACTATACATAGCCAACCGTGCGATATCAATAAGCCTGGTTGAGAGTGTTGTGGGGAGTCCAACAGTTTGAGTGAAGATGGCATAAAACTTTTGTAACCGTTTGAAACGCAACACAGAGGTCACGTGTCACACGAATCTGACTGGCTGCAGAAGGGGACGTGTCGTCCCATACCGATCGTTCGCAAAAGGGGTTATTTTGTCTACGACTGTTGGCATCAGGGAGTTCCCAAACTACGGCAGCTCAAATCAACCGCTGCGGGCGGTTTTGAAGTCTTTGGGGTTTAACCCAAGGCGAGTTCCGTGTTCAGCGCGTACACATTTTAGGGGACTACGTTCCAGAGGTCGCAACCGGGTATCCGATACCCGTACCCTACCCGATACCCGGCTACCCGTACCCAGCCGGGTACGGGTACCCGTTTGCGACCCTGGTGCGGCCGGGTACGGGTACGGGTAGACCGTGAGTCACTGGTGAGTAACCGTTTGTCACTCATTTCCCAACGTCTTGTCTCTTCTCACAATTCAAGTTCCTAGAATCAACCCACCCGCGCCTGCAACATGGCTTCATCCCAGAGGTCGCAATCAGGTACCCGATGCCCGTACCCTACCCGTACCCGGCCGGGTACGGGTATGGTACGGGTACGGCCGGGTACGGGTACCCGTTTGCGACCCTGGTGCGGCCGGGTACGGGTAAGGTATCAAAACCCGTTTGCGACCTCTTCTACGTTCCAACGTTTTATAAACGTGTATGCACACAGGTTTCACTCGCTTGACACAGTAATAGTTAGATGCGTTCGGGAAAATTTAAGGGGCGCACAACGAGCGAAATCAAGACCGCATGGTAGAGCGGATTGCGGGTATAAATAGGTTAGCTGGCATATACGCGAAATGGCATATAACCGAACCCGCATAAAGCGACGGGAAACCTGTATACATATTTAACAAACCAAAAATATTCGAAAGAGCGCTCGCTACACATTGTTTTTGGGAACCAAAGCAACGACTTTCAAATTTTCGCGACTTCCTCATCGATTTGCGCCGGGGAGCGACGCAAGCTGTTGGTGGTTTCCAACCAGTGGTTCACGGCGCATTGGTGACTATTATTATTATCGAGTTGTTCTGCTTGTTTACCGAGGAAAGCCGTGCACGAGTCCTTGTAAAATGAGCTGTTCTGGCACAACTGGCCTTACCAGCTCAAATAAAAATGAGTGAGTCTCAAGACTCGTTTAGTTTTATTTGGGGGGGGGGGGGGGGGAGAGGGGCAATGTTGCTTATACATCGTCCAGAACGAGTAAATTTGCGGGTACATTTTCAGCATTGGGATGTTGCACTATGGTTTTGTCTTTGTTTGTTTAACTAATGGGAGAAAATCGATGCACCGGGAGGAAACCCATGCAGAACAGATGGGGGGGGGGGGGTAGTTGGGGAGGGGGGTGAACATACAAAGGAGCCCGAGTCGGCAATCAAACCCAGCAAGGCCCCCGTCTTGCCACGAGGCGTGATTGTTACTATTCGTGCCATCCCTGCCGGCGGCGGCCCCGCTGTTTGGGCCCGCGAGGCCTTGGGAAGCGTCCCTCGCATTCCGCGGGGCTGTAGCCGGTATTCCAATCCGAGGATTCGTCGTCTTAAGTTTTTTCGTTTTTTTTTTACCCTGGCAAAAGAATACCGCGCTTTGAACCGGTGTGCGGCGGTGGGTCGCGGATATCCCGCTGTCGACGAGGTGATTGGTCAAGGCTCGTCGAGAAAATAAGACACGGATGGGACCCCCCCCCCACCCCCCCGGGAACTGTTCGAGAACGCGGACGTCAAAATGTTTTTTTTTTTTGCGCGACGCGGCAAAAAACTGCTTTCGCGCTTTTGCCTGCGGTGGCGGAAACGTAAGTGGAACGAAGATGAATTCGGCGGGTAGGTGTGGTTGTTCGCCGCAGCAGGATTCCTCGCAGTTCGGATGCGAGATGTGATCCAGCCACCAGAAACAAAGGGAATACATAGCGAGGTTGCCGGCTACCGGACGCAAAGTTTAAGCACGAACGCGTAAGCCGTTTTGAATATCTCGAGTCTGAGCCCGGACCAGTTGCGCACGCGACACGGCCTTCAAACTGCTGATTTTATACAAAAAAGTGCAGTTGCTTGCAGCATATGCAGATTTTTGTGGGGGCGAGGGGTTGAGATGGGGGGGGGGGGGCAGAGAGAGGAGGGGGCAGTGGGGTTAGCGAGTGGTGTGCCATTGAACCCGGCAACCTGAGTTCCATTCCCGGCCATGGCTAACAATCCCATGGCTAACGAGTGGTCAGTGACATGTGAACTGCCCCCCCCCCGCCCCACCCCCCACCACATTAACGAACCTGCACTGACCAACACGGTGAATTATGGGTAAACAAACCTCCATGGCCAATACAGCATGGTAGGTCCTCATCCAGCAGTGGATTGACAGAGGGCTAATCTGTTTTCAATACACATATCTGTACAGTAATACACCGCTCTTGTATTATTACATATAACCCTGTGCATAGTCTTCAAATATTTGTTTTTTTTCGTGTTTCGTTAAAATAAAAATGGAGAACAAAAAGTGGGACATTCCAGAGTGAAAGGTGATTTCTGCAGTGGCTATACAACACAGGGTGGAGTGGTGGCAAAGCGGTTAGCGCGCTGCACGATGAACCCGGCGACCTGAAACTCGATTCCTGTCCACGGCAAACATCAGCGGTGAGCGGGATCAGAAGCAGTCCTGCACCCCCCCCCACTCCATCTCTTACTAACCAGCGTGGTGAAGTATGGTCACACATACCCACAATGTCGTGGGAAGCATTGAGAATGGCTGAAATTTGGCACAACACAAGCGGCTCGGTGCATGACCACCAAGTCATTACTTTTTGTCGACGAACTTAGGCCAAAGTCTTTGGCACACGCGCGTACCTGCCAAGCGTACCGATTGTAAAAATAATTCTTGAGAGGCAGCGCAGCGATGAACACTGATGTCGTTTGATCATTTGTCGCGTTCACAAAGCGGGGAGGGTGGGAGGGAATTCTATGTCGATTATTGTCAATTGGGCAAACACACCCCCCCTCCCAAACGCACGTCCCAAACAGGGCGAGTGGCCTTAACGCCTCTCTGCCCGTTCATAGGCACCGAGTTCCACGCGCTGCTCCGTACAGTTCGGGGTCACGTGTTTCGGCAATCGATTGATCTCAGTCACAATTGTGATGAAAGTTGCGGCCTCTAGTGGCTGCAAGGGGAAGGAGTCGGGGAAGGAGGGGTGTCACGTGAAGGACGTTACCAATCTCACATCGATTGTTACATATGCGTTTATGTTAATAATCGATACTAATTGATTAATCGACGCGTTGTTTTCCTTAACAAAAAATTCGCACGTGGTTTGGAATAATTTAAGAAATCCACTGGGCGTTCCTCAAAGGCCACCCTGTCAACCCTTATCTACCCTGGAAACCCTTGCAAATGAGATGTTATGTCTCAAGAGATTATCCAGGTATAATATTTTCACAAACAATTGTTATAATACAAATGCATGGGTTGCCACGGTACATTATGGATAGACACATATAAAAGTCGGACTCCGCTCTATGCATTTTGTGATTGGGGTTTAGTGGTTTATATTGAGTCATCTAGTCAATAACATGGTAACCCAGCAGAATGTGTTTTTTTATTTTAACAAGCATGATTCTACTGATGAAACCCAGATGGTCCAAACCGGTCCACAGTTTTCTTGCTGAGACTAATGCTGCTACTTGATAATACTGGCCTGGAAATCCATCCAATGGGCAGCAAGCCAAACACATATTTGTATTTATTTGTGGAGGCATTAAACTGAGCTATGCTTACATTTCATTACTTTATGGGTTTGTTCTGTACCTCGCATAGAACTGCCGTGAAACTAACGGTCTTTTATTGGAATGTCGGGGAGAAATAATTGGGTGGTGACATGGCCCAGCGGTAGCGCCATCGCCGATTGTAGCAAAGGTCAGCATCCGGCAGGCAGCCCTGGTTAATACTACAGTGTGCGTATTAACCTACGGTGCGTGCATTAACCATAAAATACGTTCCGTCTGAATTTTGACTTCAAACTTTCGTGACTGCAGGAATGCATATTCTTTGGTTCTTTCGGTAAAGTCACGTAGATAGGAAAATAATGAAAAAAAGAAAGTTAATATTTGTGTTGTGATCGAAACGTCGTGTTTTTTTTATTCACTTTATTTTTATTCGTATATCTACGTGACTTTACCGAAAAACTAAAGACTACGTTCCGTCTGCTTCACAGTTTCACGTTAAGAAATCCCTGCGACGTGATTCGAGGAACAGTCGGCTGTCGTCTGCCGCAGTCACGGTCCGCACTTCGCAAATCTTTGAAAAATTACTCGCAAATTAACGGTTTGGAAAGCAAGTTCTTTTCGTGGATAAAACAAGCGTGAAATGATTGATAACAATAAGAATAATGATGAAGAAATGAGACAGAATAGTTCATTTGCAAGGGGGGCCTGGCAGTGTGCGGTGAATCTGAGCCGTAAAGAAGATATTGGCTCGTGCGTTGTTTTCTTTCCTTCGAGGAGAAATCTACGACAGCGCGCTGACTACCGTGCTACGACTAACCTAGACACTCATCTGAACACAAACTCTGAGCTAACTCGAAGCCAATCGCCAATGGCCATGGGATGCAGACTAAAGAGAACTCCCTCTCGCGTACGCATTTACTTGACCCCTTTCGTTTGCCCCACCTTCCGCCCCCCCCCCCCCCGGGTTGAAAGCTGTAAAAATCACAATGCTCAAATAATTTCACATCATTGCTGTTGTCGTCGCCATCATCATCATAGCTTACGGGCCATTTCCATGTCCTGATAAAAATCCACATTTACTTCTTATTCAAATATTTGTTTTCAAAAGTTACCGTGTCGTTTAAGCCAGCATTCATCAAATGGCGCACTTACAAAGATTTCCAAATATAAATTACATTTTACCCTGTTGGATTTCTTTTAAGCGTATGGTGCACGTTCCAACTTGATTTTCCCCTTGCTGGAGACGACACTACGAGGCCAGCAAACAAACAGCCTTCGAGTTCCCAACCCTTGCAGAGGTATCCAGTGTGACTTGATGGGTTCATATGGTCCTGCCATTTCACTTTAAAAACCGTATAAATGCACGTATTATCTGTTCTCACCGCTACCACATACCAAAGGCTCCCTCCCACCAACACCACCAAGTGCCTCTGCTCTCGACCAAATTCCCGCCCATCGTGCCACGTGACCGACACAACTAAGAACGCTACCACACCATTTCTTCACCAGATCATGGCCAGACAAATGACATGCATCTCGTCTTTTTTTATTTATGAATAGCCATGACCTTTGATCATCCATCCACAAGGCTGGCTAACTTTCAAAAAGATCATATTTTAATTCTTCTGCCAATCTTTTTATTAGTCTAGCTTGACTATGCCACCCCTGACAAACTAGGAATTGTCACCCACAATTACAAGGCCTACAATAGGCCTGCCGTGCAAAACACAATCCACTGCTTCGTTCACTTGTACCAATGACACCCTCTGACGGATTTTGCGTGTCGTCTCACAACAACATTGACACTCAACCCTTCCCTGTGCATTGTCACTGTGTGATGTTAACATTTTTTTAATGCCCACTCGTGCAGTGCCACTGAATTTTTCGTTTCACGTTTTTGTTAGAAAGCGGCAATTTGTCGTCCACGTGCGTTTTACGTTTACATTTGAACTCATCGCGGCTGACTTTGCATTCTTAATACGCGTTTGTCAATATGATCCCACGAGCATCGAATTGGATAGAAATAGACACAAAGAGAAGCTAGGTGAATTTTCAAGGCTTTGCGTTTATGTTTTTTTGTTATTTAAGCTGCAGGCTTCTTAGCATGTTCCTTCATCCTCGTGCGTTGCTCCGAACTTTGCGGTGCCACCAACGCCTCCACGTTGATTTCACCTGCAAGGCAGGCGACAGAGAACGTTAGTGCAGGGCCACACCATCATCGCCTGCGACCGATTTGTCCACATCTGAGCGAGCAGTTGAGCCACAGTAACAATTACGCGGCGCCGTTTTCTGAGATCGCAAACAGGCAAATCACGGGTTCACAAAATGTGCACCACGTGACTAAATATGTAGCTACATATCCCTGGTTCCTGAAAGTTAGAGCGTCTCTCGACTGCAAGCAACAGGTTGCGCAAGTTGCTCGCAACCGTTTGCAGAGACAATATCAGCGATTTAATTGCATGCAACCAATCTGTGCAACTTCCCAGTAAAATGTGCATCGTTGAGGCAACGTTTGCCTGTGGTTGGAACCGATGGACCAACGGTAGCCCAACATTGTCCCCAAGGCTTCCAATGTTCACCGGGTGATAGCTCAGGTGTGAGCCCACGCTTCGAGCCAAGCTCCAGATAACAATCGCGGACATTTCCCTTCCTCTTAGGGCAAACACAGCAGCAGCTGGATATAAGCACACTTCATATATCGGTACAATTAGAAACAACACGTGCTTACATGCCACTGGTGGAAGGAAAGCAAACGGCTATTGCTAAAACAAGCACACTGCTTCTGATATAAGCACGGCTGGCCTTGCTCTCAAGGGCTGTGCTTATAAACTCAACTAAATCAACTGAACTATTTTTTATTTAACCAGCTAAGATCCACTGAGCAATATAGCTCTTTTTTAGAAGCGACCTGGCCGCAGATGATAGTTCGACAAAGTGGCTTATCACGTGGAAATGTATATCAGCCGAATAGTCTACATGCATGTGTCTAAGTGTGGAGGGAAAACACCAGGGACCCAGAGGGTGGGGATCGAACTCACGACCTCCTGTACACCAGACGAGGCAGTTAACGTCTCGCCACCGTGGCGCCTTGCGATTCCCACACGTATTTTGTGCCGTAAGATTTAAACGTAATTCTTGTTGTTTGTTATTGTTATTATTAATTAATTTCGCACTTCGTCGCGTGGGGCAAAGGTTAAAGGTTACCGCGGCCGTGGCGGCACCTCGACACGTGATTCCCAGCCAATTTGAAAGGAGCGGGTGGGTGGGGGGGACCTTAAGAGATCTAAATTCCTCGTCTCCCTCAGAGGTGGTGGAATTTTTTTTTCTTTCTCACTCCCGGTTTTTTTTTGTGTGAAAACAAACCCTCAGTAGAGCCTTTTGATCTGCAGAGGGTGGCCTTTGTTAGGTTTTTTAGAATGAGGGTGTGTGTGGGGGGGGTGAAGGAGGGTCGGTGAGAAGAGGAGGATGAAGAGCAGGAGGAGAGGGGGGGGTGAGATGGCAGGATGGAGATGGGGGGGTGGTGGTGGTCGTTGTTGTTGTGAGAGGGAGGGGCGGTTGTTGTGGGAGTTGTGGAAAGGGGCTCTAGGTGGAATGTCTCAACAGATAGACTCCGGTGGGAAGGGACCACCGCAGGGGCCGATCTAATCTGCTCAAGAATTCCAAGTGGTCAGAAAAAGGCACGGACCCCTCCCCCGAACACCCCACCCCGCCCCTCGACTCGCCCACCCACCCGCCCGCCCCCCCTCACCAGAAAACCCCCACAACTCCTGCGGCCAGCACCACCACCCCCCGCCGCTGCCTCCTCTACACAAAAAAGATCCCCCGTGTAGCCTTAACAGACTGTAGGGGCAAGTGCTGTTAGCGAGCACCTATGAAGGCCGGAACGGTACACGAGGGGTTGGGTGGCCAGCACCACGCCCGACCGCCTTTGTCTCCCCAGTGACGATGTTTACACACCACACCAGGTACTCATTTGAGGCTGAGTCGACCCAGGGCCGGTTCAGATGATCGTCACCGGTGTTGTTCCATGAGCGGAATCGAACCCGGGTGGCCGGGTGCATAGTGCAGCGCCAGCATCCTTCCCATGCCCAGTAAAATACCCAGTCGCATACCCAGTCAAATACCCAGTCACATACCCAGTCAAATACCCAGTCACATGACCAGCCACATACCCAGTCACATGACCAGCCACATACCCAGCCACATACCCAGTCAAATACCCAGTCACATACCCAGCCACATACCCAGCCACATACCCAGTCACATACCCAGCCACATGACCAGCCACATACCCAGCCACATACCCAGTCACATACCCAGTCAAATACCCAGTCACATGACCAGCCACATACCCAGTCACATGACCAGCCACATACCCTGCCACATACCCAGCCACATACCCAGTCACATACCCAGTCAAATACCCAGTCACATGACCAGCCACATACCCAGTCACATGACCAGCCACATACCCAGCCACATACCCAGTCAAATACCCAGTCACATACCCAGCCACATACCCAGCCACATACCCAGTCACATACCCAGCCACATGACCAGCCACATACCCAGCCACATACCCAGTCACATACCCAGTCAAATACCCAGTCACATGACCAGCCACATACCCAGTCACATGACCAGCCACATACCCTGCCACATACCCAGCCACATACCCAGGCACATACCCAGTCACATACCCAGTCAAATACCCAGTCACATACCCAGCCACATACCCAGTCACATATCCAGCCACATACCCAGCCACATACCCAGTCACATGACCAGCCACATACCCAGCCACATGACCAGCCACATACCCAGCCACATACCCAGTCACATGACCAGTCACATGACCAGCCACATACCCAGTCACATACCCAGCCACATACCCAGTCACATACCCAGTCACATGACCAGTTACATAACCAGTCACATGACCAGCCACATACTTAGTCACATACCCAGTCACATACCCAGTAACATGACCAGTCACATACCCAGTCACATGACCAGTCACATGACCAGTCACATACCCAGTCACATACCCGGCCACATACCCGGTCACATACCCGGTCACATGACCAGTCACATACCCGGTCACATACCCAGTCACATACCCAGTCACATGACCAGCCACATACCCAGTCACATGACCAGCCACATACCCAGTCACATACCCAGCCACATGACCAGTCACATACCCAGCCACATACCCAGCCACATACCCAGTCACATACCCAGCCACATGACCAGCCACATACCCAGCCACATACCCAGTCACATACCCCCGGGCCGGGCAGCCAGGGGGTGGCGTGGTGCACTTGGAGGGCAGCGATGGCGTTCATTGAACGCTTCCCAGCGCCTGGTTGAATTGCGGCTTAGCAGGGTCACCGAGTTGATGTTTTTTTGTTCAAGTGATCGTCAAAGAGCAACAAAACTCGAAGGTTAAAGAAGAAGCAGAACAAAAAAAGCCACCGTGCAAGGCGCGGCGAGGTGGGTGAGGGGGAGAGGAGGAGGACTCATTCTCTCTCGCTCGCTCGCTCCCTTGCCGTGTGTTTCTGTGGAGACGGATTTTGTTTTTGTCCATCGCCGTTTGACCCAAAAACACGGAGTTTTGACGGCGCGTGGTGGTGGTGGTGGTGGGAGGGAACAAAAAAATCGAGATGGTAAATAATCGCCCCCGTGCGGCGATTTAACCCCCCGTCTCGTGTAGAAAAACAATAAAAAAAGTTTAAAGTGCAGCCCTACAATTACCGACTCGCGCCACTGCTATTGGAAGGATCTCGTTCTCGAGAGACCCCCTACAGTGCACACCCTCCCCCCCCTCGAGCCACGAGAGGGTATTTGGCCTACTCTTCCACGGTTTGCCCAGACGTCTTGCAAGAGCTTGGGGGGTAAACCAACACCGCCGCTTAGCACGTGCTGGCTACGCACGAAGTTGGACATCGGGGTAACCGCCTGCCGATCGACCAATTGGAGCGCGCCGATTTATCCCGCTGGGGTGGACAGAGGCGAGGGGTAGTGGGGTGGTGGCATGGGGGTGAAGCAGTGGTGAGAAACTCCGCACCATCGTTGAGAATGGAGCCGGCGGCTATCGGCAAGCGGCCTTCGACATCCGCAGCTGTGGGATGCACATCCCAAGCGGTGTCCCAGCAAAGCTTTCGGACAATTGTGTTTGGTCATTTTGTTTTGTTACATCGAAAGCAAGATCTTTCATTTCATACTCGTTAGTTTCTTTCGGTAAAGTCACGTAGGTAGAAAAATAATCGATCACGACGTTTTGATCGCAACACACAAGCGATCGTCATCAGGTGGGACAACCACAGCGAAGAAACTGCTGAAGTAGGGTTTAGATCTGCCGTGGCACGAGGTTATGTATCGGCAGTATGGGGGGGGGGGAGAAGGGGGGGGGGAACGGGGCAGAAAATGGACCCCGCAGCAGCTGCGGTTGTCCCACCTGATGACGCTTGTGTTGGGATCGAAACGTCGTGATCTATTATTGTTCTACCTACGTGACTTTTCCGAAAGAACCAACGAGTATGGATTCCTGCAGTCACGAAAGCTTCAAAGCAAGATCTTTCAGTGGCACGAGAGCACCGGCGAAGTTACACTCACCAGTGGGAGGTGGGGTTAATAATTATTGGACAATGAGGGACACCCTCTGCTGGTATTCCCCGCCTCTGTGAATTGGGGCGATCGGTGGAGGGGGAGGGTAAGAGGAAAGGAGGCGATGGAGATGGGGGGAGAGGAAAGGGAGAGGGGAAATATGGGGGGCGGGGGCGGTGATGGTGTATGTCTGGGAATGTGTGCACAGTGGAGGAGATGATCGCATCGAGAGCGAATCAACGAGAGGGACCGGGAGGGGGGTGGTGTGTGGGAAGGGTGGAGGGGGTGCACGTATCCTAGTCCATGCATCGCCAGTGACGCTCACTAACATCATGCACATGGGTCGCAAAAGTAACCGCTGGTCTCTCTCGTTGCCCCGTGCACGACTTTCGCCGCACGCGCATCGAATCAACCGTGCGCTGGGACCTCCGTTGACTACTGCTGGGCTGCAGTGAGCAGGGGAGAGGGTGTTCCTGTCTAAGTAACGTGGCCCCCGTAGTTTAAACTGCCGCGCCAAGAGTCACGGTCTTCGATTTTTGTTTTGTTTTACCCAAATGTGATCA